AGATGGACTGTCTGGCCTCTTGTCAAAGCACAGCTCAAAAGTCTACCTCTCTGAAGGTATGGGGGTGCATTAGTGCCAAAGAAATTGGCAGCTTACACACTTAGAAAGGCACCATCAACACAACAAAGTTTATACAGGTTTTAGAACAACATATGTTCCCATCTAGAAGACGAAGACCCAGAAATGCTGAAAAGCTAGAATCGTACATCAGAAAAGAATGGGGAAAATGCTCTCCTCCAAAAACTTTACCAACTGGTGACCTCATGTTGTCTTAAAAAAATGCTCAGTTTGTTAGCTTAAACATTTATTGTGTTCACTATGTTTTAACATGAATAAAATATAAATTTACAAAAGTGGCAAATTATTGCATTCTATTCTTCATTTTTCATAACTTCCTAACTTTTTTTAATTTCGGGGTTAAACTTTAGAGTTGAATAAAATTTGGTTTAAAATATTATGGCATATATCGAAAAAAGTTAAGTCAGGTCCTCTGGACAGATTCTTCTTGTTGAAATGTTTAGTTTTTTATCCAGAAGACTTCTTCAGTCTGAGGAGCTGCAACTAGCTCAGTCTTAAAAGCAACACCTTCTTATAGTGGATCAACCAGTTTGCTGCTGACAGCCAAAACTAGTAGTTCTCTTGCAAAAGGACCATCAGCCCAACAATTGGTTGTTAGCACCCTGATGGCCACTTGCTACTCACAGAGGGCTGAGTGATACTAGCAATAACAGCATTGTAAGAGGAGGACAGTTGAACATGGAAGTCTCAGCCCCTGTTTAATGATGGACGGGTTCTTTTCACAAAGATGGCCTCCTTTACTCCTCTCTCAAACCATTGTTCCTCTCTATCCAGGATTTGAACATCTTCATCCCTGAAAGAGTGGCCGCTGGCCTGATGATGTTGATCTTCTGTGCTGGGCCATCCTTTTGGCCAGTGGCTGTTTAGCTTCTCCAATGTAAGACTGATCACAGCCCTCCTGACACTGAACAGCATACACAACATTGCTCTGTTTGTGCCGGGGGACTGGATCTTTGGGATGAACTAGTCTTTGCCGTAAGACTGGTTCATCCGGAAGACTTTGGGGTTTAAAAGCCACTGGGATGTTGTGTTTCGATAATAAATGGCTCAGTTTCTCTGATACTCCCGCAACATATGGAATGATCACTGGTCTGGGTTCCTCCTTTTCACCTGTTGGCTGACTGGAGTCCTGTTTGGGTTTCTTCTCTGCTTTTAGGAAGGCCCAGTTAGGATATCCACATTGCTCTAGAGCCTGTCTTGTGTGGGATTTCTCCTTCTGCCTGGCTCCAGAGCTAGTGGGGATGCTGTCTGCTCTGTGATACAGAGTCCTGATGACTCCTAACTTGTGCTCCAAAGGGTGATGGGAGTCAAACTGCAAATACTGGTCTGTGTGGGTGGGTTTGCGGTACACCTCAGTTTGCAAATGTCCTCTATCCGAGACTGAGACCTCACAGTCCAAGAAAACCAACCTGCCATTTTTTACATCTTCTCGTGTGAACTTGATGTATTTATCCACAGAGTTGATGTGGTCCGTAAAATGTTGGACTTCCTGAGATTTAATTTTAACCCAGGTGTCGTCAACATACCTGAACCAATGACTTGGTGGTGTCCCTGAAAAGGACGTCAAGGCTCTCTTTTCTACCTCCTCCATGTACAGGTTGGCAACAATAGGAGAAACTGGAGACCCCATAGCACACCCATGTTTCTGCCTATAATATTGCTCCCCATATGTGAAGTAGGTTGACTGCAGGCACAGTTTCAAGAGTTGACACAGTTGTTCTGTGGAAAGCGTGGTCCTGCTGCTCAGAGTGGTGTCTGATTTTAATTTTAAACTGACCACCTCTACTGCATCATCAACAGGAATGCACGTAAAGAGTGAGGTGACATCAAAAGAGACCATTGTTTCATCAGTCTCCATGATGACATCCCTCACCTTATCCACAAAGTCCATGGTGTTCTGTATGTGGTGTTCTGAGCTGCCAACTAAAGGGATGAGTACAGACGCCAGATATTTGGAAACATTGTAAGTGACAGAGTTAATCATGCTAAGAATTGGTCTTAAAGGTACACCTTGTTTGTGAATTTTGGGTAAACCATACAGACTAGGCAAGGAGGCCAATGCTTTTGCAATGCTGTTATTGCTAGTATCGCTCAGTGTCCTGATGGCCACTTGCTATTCACAGTGAGCTAACGACAAATTGTTAGGCTGATGATCCTCTTTTTGCATGTGAACAACTAGTTTTTGCTGTCACCAACAAACTGGTTGGTCCACTATGAGAATGTGCTGTTTATACAACTGAGTTTATTGCAGCTCCTCAAACTGACAGCCTTTTGGATAAAAGACAAAACATTTCAACAAGAAGAATCCATTTAGAGGACCTAACTTTACTCTTTTAGATTTTTTTTCTACCTGGATTATTGAGCATGGCAGCACGGTGGCACAACTGGTATAGCTGTTGCCTCTCATCAAGCAGGTTACTCTGGTTCGAATCCCGGTCCGGGGACCTTTCTGGGTGGAATTTATATGTTCTCTCCGTGCATGTGTGGGTTTTCTCCGGCGACCCCCACGACCCAAAAAGGAAGAGTAAAGATAATGGATAGATAAATGGATGGATTATTGAGCATGCATCAGGATATTATGGCATATAATTCCAACTAGTTTGTTAGTAATGTCAATTTCCTCATCATTAAAGCCAGCTGTTTTTTTAGAGTGTGACATTTTTATAGGGAGGTGCACTGTATTTCAATGTTACACAAGCAGCTATAGACGTAGATGTCTCATTAGCATAACAAGCATTAAAAACATGCAGTACTCATTCTTCCCATTACAACCATTCCTGTGTAAAGTCTCCAACAAGCAGGGGCATTTATTACTATCACACTGAAGAGTTTTAATACCTGCGCTTGAGCTGCTCCATCTGTAATAGCACCATGTGCCAAAGAGGTGAAAGGCATCTTTTGATAGTGATGGTGTAAAAGGGAACTATTGAAGGCAAAGGAGGAGAATGGGCAAGCTCTTGAATCTCATTAGTGCATTTTCCTTCTCATCATATAGAATTTTCTCAGAATGGTGCCTTACATTGTCCTTGTCGTCTTTGAAACCAAGTGGTTTTTCTAAAGGAGATGCTGACTTTGTGTTATAGTGCCATGAGACGTTTGTGACCCCCCTAGGAGAGGCTGAATATAGACTGTTTAAGGTAGCTATCATTGAAAAATACTGTTCAGAGACAGAATAAATGGATCTAGTATGCTTTAGTGGCTATGTAGCAGAAAAGTATATCCGTTTGGCTTTAAATTACCCTTGACCCATCATCATCCAGGTTAAGTATACTGAGCTTTTCTTTCACACCTTGTAACTAATTTTCTTTCTGTTGATAATTTATTAAATCAATGACTGAATGATCAGTCCTTTAAATGTCACAAATAACAATAGATATAGTATTTAAAGGCAATTAAAATTCTGGTAAAAAAAAAAAAAAAACATGTTCAGCTAAAACATTTTCACTCACAAGAAACCTTTTAGATATGTGTGTCAATCTCTCCTGTCCACATAAGAGACTGAGTCTTGTCCACCTTTACACAAGTGCATAATATAAGCACTTGTCTTGTCTTGTTTCAAGTTATTGTGAATTCACTTTTGTATTTTAGAAAAAGCAGGATGGTCTTATTGTCATGTGATAATTTTAGCAACCCCATTGTTAAATAGGTTGGGATGCTGCATTTAAAATGGACAAATGCAAATAACTAAGACTATAGCTGATAAGTTATATATATATATATATATATATATATATATATATATATATATATAT